TGACGCCTGCTGAATTTTTAAAATCGCACAGAACCGAGCGTTTAGCTGTTCCATGTGAGAGTGCGTCGCAAGAAGTCTTGCAGGGTGTAGCTACGAAGAGAATTAACAGAGGTCGATGGCGCCGACGCCATGCGACTCAAACGACCAAGTCGACGAGACTGTGCTGCTTGATCTATTCGTGTTCTTTTTTTTGTAGACTGCGATAAGTGGCTCCTTGTACACTGAGGAATCAGTTAGCCAAGCGCAACCGCCGAACGTCCACTTGTCTGAAACTTATGGCATCAAAGCCAGAATCATGTCAAGCGATGTAATAAAACTTTCGCCAGCTGAGGGTACATGAACGCGCAAGGCCGCTGGTCCAGGAGACTTCCTGATGTCATGCTTATGTCATGTCTGTACGTGTGCAAGTTCGAAGACTTGAACGAACAGGTGTGTTTGTCGCCAGGACACATCACACTCACGATGATACTGCAACACCAGTAACTTTGCCAGAAACTCAGAATCCAGCGCTTGTAAACGACTCTGCGTCGGGATCTATTAATTAGACACTAAGGACTGAGGATATCAAGCTGCACTCTTAGCCTTTCTCTGCTTGCACATGTAAGCACACAGACAATATAAATACAACCGCATCAACTAGAAAAAGTATCTGCGTTAGAAAGCTATAGTGTCCTGACGCAGATAATAGGCCCGCTGATCTGACTGACGCGCAGACGAAGTTCATCACTGATGGCGAGTCGCTTGACCAGTTTAGAAGTATATGCTTGTGGTACTGCCAGCTGTTACTGTCTATCGAAAAAGATGTACAGACGTTAGTGCACGAGCAACCTTAATATATTGAGACGTCGCAAGCTTGAAGTTATGTAATGAGCACGGAAGCAGGTGCTGTACAGTGTCTGCCGATACACCGGGTGAGCCTCATGAAGTATTCATTTCAGTGCAGTAGCTAAGCTGCTCCAGGTTGAGTACCACACTAAGTTCTGATGTAATCACCAAGCACAATGAAATATTTTTGAGTGACAGCGAGAATCAGCAGGTCAGCGGCTTCACCTGAGTCGGTGCCCGAGTTTGAGACTACAGACGCACACAAGCGAGTCTATACGTTGTCCAGTTCGTCAACAATCTGCAGAACAGATTTACCGAGACGCATTGTCCACTGCCGCGTTATTACGGAAAACACAATCAAGTACACTGCTGAGGACATGCGACTGCGTCACTTCACTGGTGGAGGAAGCGCAAGCCTCGTGAAGTATTCATTGCAATACGGTAGCTGACAATCCAAGCTGCTCCAGATTGCTCGTGAAGTATTCATTTCAATGAAGTAGCTGACAATCCAAGCTGCTTTGGACTGAGTGCCACACTAAGTCCTGATGTAATCACCAAGCACAATGAAATATTTTTGAGTGACAGCGAGAATCAGCAGGTCGGCAACTTCACCTGAGTCAACCCCTGAGTTTGAGACTACAGACGCACGCAAGCGATTCTATACGTTATCCAGTTCGTTCTCAATCTGCAGAACAGGTTTACCGAGATGCCGCTCATACAGGCAAAAGATATTCAGTTTGATGTAGAAGACGCTCACGCCTGCTTTCAATCCTAAGCAATCCAGGAGACTGGGAGACCGTCGACACACATGGAGACACTGCTCCAGGTTGAGCACTGCACTCAGCTTTGCTGTACTCACCAAGCTCAATGAAGCATTACTAAACAAACGTACCTTGAAATTCTGCAGGTTGGCGGCCTCACTAGCAGCAAGTGCATATAGTATTATTCAGTCTCTGTCTACGGCGCAGGTTTACCGACATGCCGCTCATACAGGCAGACATATCCAATTTGTCGAGGCAGCATCACAGCTGCCTCCAGTCTTAAGCAGTTCAGCATGTTATGAAGGATTTGTTCTTGTCACATCATCTTTCATTTTAAGGGGCATCCATTGGATTCTGCAAGAAGCAGTTCTTTCACAACGATATCTTCGGCAACGATGTGGCGCTGAACCGTATCTGCAATTCGTCTATATTTTTACTCACGCTACAAACAGCACAACTCTCTTCACTCTCAATTACCAGGTGACAAGATCGCCAAGAATTTGTTTCGCAGACTTCGTCGAAGTGCCGATCGTGACGTGGCGACGCAGGACTTACCTAAACGACAACTGCTTTAATTTCTCTGCCAGGAAATGAAAAATACAGAGAGCTTCCATCCATTTTATGAATGAGTTCCTTTATCTCTGAATAGGAGATGAATGAGCTCCTCTATCTTCTCAAAGGAAATGCAAGAATGGAAGCGAACGAAGTCCGCTATCTTCTAATGCATAATGAGAGAGCTCCCCTATTCCCTAAAAAGAGTGAGCGAGGGGAGCCCTCTCATGACCTATTTAGGAGACAGAAGAGATCTGCGCATTTAGAAGCGGAAGTGAAAGAGAAAGCAAGGGCACTCTGTCACTTCTTAGAAAGAGATAGAAGAGCTTTCGGATGACCTCTTAAAAGATAGAAGAAACTCTCTCAAGCAAACGATTGAGATTGACGAGCTGTGTCATGTCCCATGTAAGGGATAGAGAAAGTCCTTCAAAACTTTGTTTAGGGCAAAGGAGAGATCTCAAGCAAAAAGGTAGAAGAGCTCTGTCATTGCCTATAAGAGATAAACGGCTTCTTTCATTACTTGAGAAACTATTTCTGAAAAATAGACATAATAGAGAACTCCTCTTTCATTTCCTGCAAGAAGATGGAGCAGGTGTCTCATGACCTATTGCGAGATAGAGAAGCTCTTTCATGTAAAAGATAAGAAATGGTAGAGCTGCGAATTCTTCTACCTATTGAAGACATATGACAACGATAGGACATGAGCGAGCTCTTATGATCTCTTATGTAGTACCAGTGCATTCTTCTATCTCTGAGTAGGAGATGAAAGAGCTCCTCTATCTTCTCATAGGAAACAAAAGAAGTCCTGTATAGGAAACGAAAAGACCCTTTGATAAACCAACAAAAAAACGGACAAGAATTGATGTCATCCATCTTGTTAATCATCATGAGAGATGGGACATGAAAGAGCTCCTCTTTTGTTTGGAAATGAACTAGTTGTTTTTTTTGAGTGAAGGATCTCTCTTTCGAATAAATGAGATATCTCTTCTAGGTCCCTCTGTCTCGTAATTGGAAATGAATGAGTCCTCCCCCCCTCCCCCTCTGCTCTAACTTCTCATAGAAAATGGTAAAAATGGAAATGAACGATGCCCTGTATCTTTTCACGCAACATATGAGAGAGCTCCTCTCTCTCTCCTAATGGGACATGAAAGTCCTCCTTTGTTTTCAATGAAAGATCTCTCTCTCTCTCTCTCTCTCGAGGAAATGAGATGTTCTATATCTCTTTCTAGGAAACATTTCTTCAAGTAGGAGAAAGGCTCCTCTCATGCAAAAGACAGAGATTGATGAGTTGCGGCATGTCCCATTTAAGGGATAGAGAAAGTCCTGCAAACTGTTAGTTAGAGTAAAGGAGAGATCTCAAGTAGAAAAGGTAGAAGAGCTGTGTCATTTCCTATGAAGAGATAAACGGCTTCTCTGATGACCTCTTCATTGATAGAGAAGCTATTTCTGAAAACTCGACATAGTAGAGAACTCTCTCTCTCTCTCTCTCTCATTTCCTGCGAAAAGCTAGAGGAGGTCTCTCACGACGTATTGCGAGATAGAGAAGCTCTTTCATGTACCAGATAGGAAACGGTAGAGCTGAGGATTCCTCTACCTATTGACGACATATGAAAAAGATAGGACATCGGAGAGCTCCTTTGATCTCTTATGCATTACCAAAGAGCTCCTCTAATCTTCTCATAGAAACAAAAGAAGTCCTGTATAGGAAACAAGAAGACCCTTTGATAAAGCAACAAAAGAACGGACATGAATCGATGTCATCCATCTTGTTAATCATAATGAGAGATGGGACATGAAAGAACTCCTCTTTTGTTTGGAAATGACCTAGTTTTTCTTCTGAGTGAAGGATCTCTCTTTCGAATAAATGAGATATCTTTTCTATGTCCCTTTGTGTCGTGTTTGGAAATGAGAGAGCCCTCCCCCCCCTCTCCTCTATCTTCTCATAGAAAATGGAAATGAACCATGTCCTGTTTCTTTTAATGCAAAATGCGAGAGCTCCTCTCTGTCTCTCTCTCTCTCTCTCTCTCTCTCCTAATAGGACATGCAAGTCCTCCTGTGTTTTGTTTTCAATGAAAGATCTCTCTCTCTCGGGGAAATGAGGAGAGGCAAGGGCGGTCTCTCATTTCCTACAAAGAGAGGGGCTTTCAGATGACCTATTAAAAGATAGAAGAAGTTCTCTCACGTAGAAGATAGAAATTGATGAGTTGTGTCCTGTCCCATTTAAGGGATGGAGAAAGTCCTGCAAAACTGTTAGTTAGAGTAAAGGAGAGATCTCAAGTAGAAAAGGTAGAAGAGCTGTGTCATCTCCTATGAAGAGATAAACGGCTTCTCTGATGGCTTCTTCATTGATAGAGAAGCTATTTCTGAAAACTCGACATAGTAGAGAACTCTCTCTCTCCCATTTCCTGCGAAAAGCTAGAGGAGGTCTCTCACGACGTATTGCGAGACAGAGAAGCTCTTTCATGTACCAGATAGGAAACGGTAGAGCTGTGAGCCGCCCTCAACCCTACATCCTCAACTTCATGTATACCCTAAGTTCATTCTTTTTAGGGTTTAGTTTAGGATTTGTGGTTTAGGATTTACGGGTTTAGGGTTTGGGGCTTCGGTTCAGTGAACAATTATCTCAATCAATGAGGAAGTCCGTAACTTCTAGCGTGTATGTTGTTGCTTAGGAACAAATATAAATGAAGCATTTTGCTTTGTTTTTTTAATACTACACATGCAAACTAAGCAAAAAGAACCCTAAAGGTATCAGCCACATATATATATATATATATACATTATTTATATATTTATTTATTTATCTATTTATACTGATATTTATTTATGTATATTTATTGCACAGGACCGCCCCAAACCCACCTGGGCATGAATCTGAGAGCGCGCTGTGACCATGCGGTCCTTCACCTGAACTTGTTGAGAAAAAGCACAGCTCGTTTGGCAGGCCCCATGTTGGGTTTCCTGTTCTTGTTTAGTTTGAAGTTCAGAGGTTCACCATCCAGACAACAATCCCCCTAGGGACTGTGGCGCGCATCTGAAAGGAAGCTCTAAGTGACCACTTTATCGGACCCCGAAGCGTCTACCCGGCTGCTGGAACCCAATCTCACTTGTTTCATAAGGTTTCGCCTCAAGAAAAAGGACATGCGAAGTCGAACTACGCAGTACATTAACTCTAACTCCACACCCGAAGCTGCACACCCGAAGTCTGAAGCCCTCTCCTTTCTGAGGCTCTGCAGACCTAGGCACGGCAAGCACCCGAGCAACTGCTGCTTGATGCACCTGGGCTTCTGAGTGTTCAAATTCTTTCGAGGTCGATTCTGTAGGCCTTGGGCTGAGATCACAAACTGCCACCCGCAATGGCGCTCTGCAGTCACCCAATGTCACCCCCAAACTACCAATTGAGCGTGAGGTCTGCGAAGCTTGGGGTTTAGGGTTGGTCTTCCGGTGCTCGCTGCAGCAGGGCCCAGAACAACTGCAGGCCGGAAGCCCAGACCCACTCAGCCCGTACTCCCAAAAACACGTAACACTCTGTCTCCTCGTCTGCTAGTTCTTCTTCTTTGTATTACACCACCGAAGACCCCAAACAGTCAAAGGCACGTCAAAGAAACAGTGGAGACGACGGGAGACAAAGGGAGGCGAAGGGAGACAAAGAAAGGCGAGGAGCATAGCAACCCGCCAAAGCCACCCACATGAAGGGAGACAAAGGGAAACCAAGGGAGACACAGGGAGACAAAGGGAGACGAAGGGAGACAAAGGGAGGGAGTCAAAGGGAGACAAAGGGAGGCAAAGGGAGACAAAGGGAGACAAAGGGAGGCAAAAGGAGACAAAGGGAGACAAAGGGCGACAAAGGGAGACAAAGGGCAAAGGGAGGCAAGAAGGCCAGGAACCCGGCAACAGTCCTCAGAATGAATTTTGAACCCCAACAGTAAACTGTTTTGGGGAAAAACAGGAGAGGGGCATGGAAGCCCCTGCCCTTTTCTTCTTCTTCTTATTATTATTATTTTTCTTCTTCGTCTTCTGCTTCTGCTTCTTCTGCTTCTTTTTCTTATTATTATTCTTCTTTTTCTTCTTCTTCTTCTTCTTCTTCTTCTTCTTCTTCTTCTTCTTCTTCTTCTTCTTCTTCTTCTTCTTCTTCTTCTTCTTCTTCTTCTTCTTCTTCTTCCTTTTCTTCCCTCCGTGTGAGCGGGGGCATCCTCAGCGGTCCCTGAACCACCACCCCCAAAGTCCGCAAGTCAGCACTCTCCATCTTCTGACATGACTCCCTCAATGTGTCTCGAATGTTTAGAAGGTAAGGTGCAGAGTTCGTCAGCTCCACAGTCGACTTGCGGGCGCTCTGCAGTCGGGCCACCGCAGCCTGCCGAACCGCCTGGCATGCTTCGCCCTAAATCCTGCAGCTTCTCCGCAACCCAGCCCCACAAAGCAACGCTTAGACCCCCCGACCCCCCCCCCCCCAAAGCCTAACCTATAAACTCCAAGTTTAAACCCCAAGCCCTAACTTGGAAGTTTTAGACTCTCTAATCTCTCCTCACTGCGCTCTAACCCCCACTCTCGAGGCCCTAACCTCGAGACTTTTAGGGCCTTTGAAATATACATGTCTGGACCTCTGACTTTATGGCTTAGAGGCTCAATGGTTTGGCTACAGCTGACAGCCTAGGCTCATACGGTGAAGCAAAGCCAGACCACTCGTGGATATCCGAGCAAGGTAGCTTACTGACGAGGCCCTAAACCCGACCTGAGCGGAACCCCGATTGAACCAAAACAAAAGCACACATCTTTGCCCAAAAGCACTCATGAGCACTCTTCTGCTCTGCAGTTAGGTCCCACCTGGGCTGTCGTGAGTGCCTTCTGGCGAAGCACCTGCGGGCAGCGAACGGCAGCCTCAAGCCTCGCAAGCCTCGAAAGCCTCGACAAATTGCCACAAGATGCAACAAACGACCAACAAAACCTTCTGCTTTGTGGCGTTCCTTGCAGGGTGCTCTGTTTTCGTCTGCTTTCTGTTTCCGCCCGCTCCGCCCGCTCCGCCCGCTCCGCGCCTCGGAGTTCTTGCCAGCCCAGGCCTTGAGGCCCTCCGTGCGGAGCTCGGTGTAGCTGCCGGCCACGGCGGCGCGGGCCGCTGTAACCTTTCACAGCTCAGCTTCAGCTTCGGGACGACTTGTGCTGAAGACACTCCACCCCAAAAGCCCTGCAATTCAGACAATAAACAGAAAAGGACAGAGAGAAATAGAGAGCGAGAGCGAGAGCGAGAGCGAGAGGGAGAGGGAGAGGGAGAGCGAGAGGGGGAGGGGGAGGGGGGGGAGGGAGAGGGGCAGGGGCAGGGACAGGGACAGACAAGGACAGAGAAATGGACAAAGAGAGGGAAGGGGACAGAACACCGAAGAAGAGTCAGAACGAAGGGGTGGAGTTTTTTTTGGGTCTTTTTTTTTTTTTTTTTTTTGGGGGGGGGGGGCCTTTTTTTTTTTTTTGGTCGATTTTCTTGGTTTTCTCTAGGAAAAACCCTACTTTCCTTGCATTTTGGACGGATTTTCTGTAATTTCCCTTCGGTTTTCGTTGGTTTTTTTCATAGGGAAACCTATTGTTTTACATTTTGGACGGATTTCCTGTAATTTCCCTTAGGTTTTCCTTGGTTTTTCCTAGGGGGAAAACCCTATTTTCCTTACATTTTGGACAGATATCCTGTCATTTCCTTCGTTTTTTGGGCTTTGAAGCACGCTTGGTACGGCTTAAAAGAAGCGGGGGGGGTTGGGGGGTGGGGGGGGGGGCAGCCCCCCCACTTGCAAACACCTCTTGGGCTTTGAAGCACGCTCTGCACGGCTTCAAAAAAAAAAGAGCGGGGGGGGCGCAGCCCCCCCATTTGCAAACACAATGCACACACGATGTTTTTCAATTAGTTTCTTGGGCTTTGAAGCACGCTTGGTACAGCTTAAAAGAAGCGGGGGGGTTGGGGACGCTGTGCCCCCCATTTGCAAACACCCTGCTCACATGATGGGTTTCAACTACTTTCTTGCGCTTTGGCTGAAAGAAAGCGGGGGGGTTGGGGGGGGCGCAGCCCCCCCCATTTGCAATGCTCACACGATGTTTTTCAACTAGTTTCTTGGGCTTTGAAGCACGCTTGGTACGGCTTAAAAGAAGCGGGGGGGGTTGGGGGAGGGGCGCAGCCCCCCCCCATTTGCAAACACAATGCTCACATGATGGGTGTCAACAAGTTTCTTGGGCTTTGAAGCGCGCTCTGCACGGCTTAAAAAAAAAGAAAAAGCGGGGGGGTTGGGGGGGGCGCAGCCCCCCCCATTTGCAAACACAATGCTCACACGATGTTTTTTCAACTAGTTTCTTGGGCTTTGAAGCACGCTTGGTACAGCTTGAAAGAAGCGGGGTTCTGCAAACACCCTGCTCACATGATGGGTTTCAACCAGTTTCTTGGGCTTCGGCTGAAAAAAAAAGCGGGGGGGTTGGGGGGGGGCGCAGCCCCCCCATTTGCAAACACAATGCTCACACGATGTTTTTCAACTAGTTTCTTGGGCTTTGAACGGCTTAAAAAAAGCGGGGGGGTTGGGGGGTCTGCGCCCCCCATTTGCAAACACCCTGCTCACATGATGGGTGTCAACAAGTTTCTTGGGCTTTGAAGCGCGCTCTGCACGGCTTAAAAAAAAGCGGGGGGGTTGGGGGGGGCGCAGCCCCCCCCATTTGCAAACACAATGCTCACACGATGTTTTTTCAACTAGTTTCTTGGGCTTTGAAGCACGCTTGGTACGGCTTAAAAGAAGCGGGGGGGGTTGGGGGGGGGGCAGCCCCCCCCCCATTTGCAAACACCCTGCTCACATGATGGGTGTCAACAAGTTTCTTGGGCTTTGAAGCACGCTCTGCACGGCTTAAAAAAAGCGGGGGGGTTGGGGGGGGCGCAGCCCCCCCCATTTGCAAACACAATGCTCACACGATGTTTTTCAACTAGTTTCTTGGGCTTCGAAGCACGCTTCCTTTCTTCCTTCCTTGCTTCCTTCCTTTCTTCCTTCCTTTCTTCCTTCCTTGCTTCCTTCCTTTCTTCCTTCCCTCCTTTCTTCCTTCCTTCCTTCCTTCCTTCCTTGTTTTCTTCCTTTCTTTCATCCTTCCTTCCTTCCTTTCTTTCCTTCTTTCCTTCTAAAACCTACCAGAAATAACGCTTTCCTATGAAACCACAGAGAAATTACTGTTTTTCGTACGAAAAACCACGAAAATGCATCAAATCCTTTAAAAATGTGGAGGGAATGGTGGTTTTCTTAGGAAAAACCAAGAAAATCGACCAAAAAAAAAAAAAGGCCAAAAAAAAAAAAAAAAAAAATACCCAAAAAAATAGGCCCTCCAGAACGAAGCCCAGACAAAGAACCTGCATGTATTGTGAATTTTGAAGACTGGTCTCCCTTGACTGGCAAAAAATCTCCATTCTACAACCGTCCAAAAGGCAGGAATCAAGAAACGAAATACAAAACGACGAGGACCACTACTTCTGAGTCACTTCTACTTCTGTCTCCATGAACCGCCCGAAAGGATTGCAGATCATCCAGTTCGTGACATGGAAGCCTACCGCAAAGACACGCAAAGTTTGCTGCTCCACCACTAGGTCACCACTACGCTGATTCACAAGAGGGCTGACATGGCCGACGGGAGTGCTTAGCAATCTGGTCACAAAGGCCCGACTCTTCTGCGAGTAGCGGTCTCTGGGATCTCTTTTGGCTGGCTAGCTATGGACGCGAGAAATAGAAAAGAGCAAGTCTCTTTGTTGGTCATCCTTGCCAGCGCCCTCTATGCTGGCACTGGTTCGGCCTCCAGCCCAGGCTTCCTCTGCTCCTTGGCCCTTTGATTGTAGAATCATTGTAGTCTTGTGGCATTGTAGTCTCGAGCTGGCGACCTCGGAGAGGTCTTCTCGGCCCTGGCCTTGTGCGTGGCTTTGTCTTGCAGCGCGCTCGTCCGTGGGTGCGATAGACAGGAAAGCCGAACGAAGATCACAGGATACTCAATGCTCAATCCAGTACGGAAACTTGCAATTTGCCTGGGTAAGAGGGGGCGAGTGACGGCTTGAACAATGATGCGTCATGTCAGGCCGCATGAAGTTTCATGTAGATTCTTCCCGCGCTGGTTGCCCCAAAAATTCTACACGTCATTGACATCCTCGGCGGACCTGATGTGGTGCCCCTTCTCTCTCCCAACTTTGCGGTGCTCTCCTCAGCCCTCTAGGTCAGCACCATCGCACCATTTGGACGGTGTCTCTCGTGGTTTCGGGTTTCAGAGCCCGCCTGTAGACAGTGAGTGGTCGGCACCGGCGAGGAATTGGCAAGGTACTGATTCCAGAGCGCCATGATGGCTGGAACTCACATGTGGTGTTGCAGATCTCCTTGGGTTCGTTGGCCTCGTCGGTCTTAAAACCTCGAGTCTCGTTCCTAGGCCTCAAAATTACTGTGCAGATTTTGCCCCAAGGCTCTAGCTGCAGATTCTGCTTTACTGGCGGCTGATGCTCAATTCACAATTTTCAGGGCCAGGTCATTGTTTGTAGTGAACGGCTCGTACCGGGCGAGCGCCGTTTGGCTCTACAAGTCGTGTTGGACGGAGCTTGCACCGGCTGTCACCGGCTGTAGGTACTGCAGGTACGATTTTGCCATCTTGGCAAAGCCCTATCTTGGGACTCATCTTCTTCAAAGACTCAACGTCGAACTGCAGTGTCTGCAGTGCGCGAGCCTCACCCTTGTCGGACATGGCTCTCAAGGCTTCCTACTTGCATTGTTGTGGCAAGAGATCTTGCGGTTCAGGTGTTCTTTAAAGAAGCGTCTGTAGCGTCTTCAAGCAGCTGCACCACTACACCTGCAAGAAGCACACCATCAAGAAAGGCAAGTTATCCATTAGGGACATCGGGGCCTGGCTCAGGACAGCCACTTTGGCAGCCGCTGCCTTGTCAACTGTTTCCTGCCGCAGCCACACTTGCGTAGAAAAAGCAGCATGATGCAGCTTGCAAACCAAAACACACTCCTGACTCCCAAGCGACAAAACGGATGAGAGTCGAAGGGAGGCCCGAACTGCAGCCCTCAGGAAGCCGCATTTCCTTCATCTTGTTCTTCGCCATCGTCTGGGCAGCGTTCGCCGACTCAGTCACCTGAAGCTGCAAAGACGGAATTTTGAAAGAGAGAGAGAGAGAGAAGAGGGAGAGAGAGAGAGAGGGAGAAGAAAGAAAGAAGCAAAGAACAATCATTCTACTCTGCCCGTGCCCGTCTCAAGCCTGAGCCCTACACCATACACTTTCACCTTGAACCTGTAGCCCATGTGATTCGTGATGCTCGTGAACTGTTTTGTCTCGCCGAGAAGGCAGCTGTGAAGTTAATACCACTGGCAGCTTCCGAGCCGTGCATCCGATTAGCTCAGGTCCGGGCGGAGGTCTTCAGCCTCTCGGCCGATGCGAGCGCCTCCGTGCGGACGTTCAGCACAGTGGCCTCTGCAGCAGGCAAGGGTTCCGTACGCTGCCCCAACCGCTGAACCTCGCTTGGGTTCAGTAAAGTCCCTGAAGCCTCAACCCTCGGGTTGAGAGGGTTCAGGGCTCAGGTGCCGCAGCCGATGTGGGAGAAAAATCGCGCTCGGCCTGAACTCGGATTCAGTTCGTCGCATTTGGAGCTACGGATTGGCAACTTGGGCCTCTCGCTTTTCATCATGGTTTAGGGCTGAGAGCTGGGCCTGAGTTTTAGGGCTGCGGTTTCTAGATCGCAGGAGCTCAGTTGAAGGTTTAAAGTGCAAAGCCTGGAGTCTAGATGAGTTTAGGATTACAAGAAAGGGTTACAAGAAATTTCGAAACTCGGACATTCTCTGTTAGCCGACATTTTGCCAGGTTCGTCGACTTTAGGGTTAAGCCTTCCTTGTGTCATTTAAGTTCAGCTGCTTGGCCTATGCCCTCCCTGAAACACTGAAAACCCTGAATCCTGTGAACCGTGTGACGTGCGACGTGTCTCAGAGTCAGAGTCAGGTCATTCGGAGGATTCGGAGGCCTTGGCCAACTCGGTCGCACTGGTCACGCGCGCACGCACAGCTGCAACGATCTCGGAGACCTTCAATGAAGTCAGAAAAGATTAAGCCACGAAGCCAGATCAAGAAGCAGCAGAAGCACCAAGAGTGGGACGGAACACCCAACCTGCCCACGCAAGATCGTGAACGCCTCGGACATCCCTGCACCATGCCAAGCCCCTACATGTTATCGTTCCTAAAGCATTAGAGCGATTGAAATCCACCAGCCACCCACTCCAAAAGGGCTGGGCTCTTTAGCCCCCTCAGAGAGCCCCGACGAAATCCTCCCTCCCCCTGAGCCTTCATGCTGGGCGGGGTCGCAATCGGCGGATTCAGGGCTGGTAGCTTGAGCAGGATGCTTGGAGCCGACATGCGGGCAGGGTCTGGGGTTTTGGGCTTCAGGCTTGTAGGTTACGTTCAGAGCAGTGTGTATGTGTAGGGTGACGCGGGGTCCAGGTCAGCCTATCGCATCAGCTGCAGATCTTGGCACTGACCCCCACCCAGATGTAGGCTCAGCCACTGCTGGTCGCAGTGGAGTTCTCGCTGTTTCGCGACACAGCCACCGCGAAGACCTTTGGCGGCGCTGCAGTCCTGTCTTGCAAGGCTTAAGACACCTAAATTCCAAGCCCGCAGTTGATTTAGGTCCTCAGGCCTTGCATGTGTCACTATGAAACTAAGATTCACAAGCCAAAGCTCTGAGGCCCCGAGGTGCGTGGCAGGCCCTCTGTAGGCTCCGCAGCTCACTTGGGCACTCAACCCTTTCACCGTTTCCCTCACATTTCTGGGTTCGAGAGGGACTATTGGACACGTGCCGTTTCCCTGGCCTCGTGGGATCACCCGGCACATCTCCCGGCCCCTCGAGCCTTTGCCAAAAGTTGGAGGCAATTGAGGGTTTCGGGGTTCGGGGGAGGCCAGGGCCATGCACCTCTAGAGCTTGTCTTGGGCCTTTAGGGTGTCCGGGTTTGGGGCTGAGGCAAGTTTAGGCAGTTTAGGAGTTCGGGGCTTGGAGATCGTTCTTGCAGAGTCTAGAGCTCTGCTTAACTTGAAACCCAGCCCGTGGCTTCACGCAATCACACACAATGCCTGCAAGCAGCATTGCGACCAGCCCTGCCAGTTCAAAGAGCCTCGACGCGGAAGCGCATAAAGCTCGAACGGCAGTACCTAGCACTATCTGCCCCAGTGGCTGGCGCAGCATGAGCAGAGATGGCGGCGGAAGCAAGAAACAACCCTCTGGGTGAAGGGCAGATGTCACCTTCGCCATCTCGCAGCCAGGTACACGCTGAGCACTTGTTTTCTGGCAGGTGCTGCCCCTCCAATGATTTGGAGGCAAGTCTACTGTGCTGCGACTTAGCCGGTGTGCGGGAATCTGTGGTGGTCTCCCTCGGAGGCCAGTGCCCCTGGGGTCGGGGGAAGTTGGCGGCCAGAAAAGGTGGTGTTCAGTGGGGTGGGGTGACTTGGAGTGTCCCAGTGGCCGCTCAACTTCTCGAATTGCTGCCCGGTTTATTGTTCAGGGTTCAGGATTTAGGGCTTAGCTGGCTGTGCTTAACTGTGATGCAACGGTACTTGGACGTGTTCCACAAAAAGCACGCAAAGATCCCAAGCAGATTTGCCTGCAGCTCCCGCAACTAAGCTTTTATTTTGCGTGTTAGGGCCGAGGGTTTCGAAGCTTTGGGCTTATGGCTTCGGCGGCTTCAGGGTTTAGCTCTCGGGGGTGGCCCACAGCAAAAAATTTGAGATCGCTTCTTGGCTCTCCAGTTCACCACACAAATGGAGACCTGACCTGGTATACCTGCATCCGAAAGCCCCAACCGCCCACCAAGTTGCTACCTTGATATGCTACTGCGATTCATGGGTTATCTGCTCATTCTCGCGGGGCGCTGGCAGTTGCATCCCCCTGCGCTGCCGAAAGCAGGGCTGTGGAAAGTATGGGCTTTCAGGGCTCACAACTCAAGACTCTAGGTTTACGTTTTGCATTCGGATACTCAGAAAACATTTGCATCCCTAAGACCGTACTGGTAGCACTACAACCCAACACTGGACTCCTTAACATTCTAACACTCTCCCTCACCATTGCAGGGCTTTTACTCCAAACCCAGAGCTCTACTTTGTTGGGTTAGGGCTTGGGGTGTCCATTCTTTGGAGCTTCCTTCGGCACAGCAGTGCAGGGAGTTGGGTCCAGTGCGAGCTTACGCATCGAATTGCCACCCTCAGGAGCCAACTAGAAGCATGGAGTGCAGTCGGCTAGGGGTTGAGGTCCGGGCCTCTTTGGGTTGGCCTATCATACCTCAGGGGCTCAGGCCAGATGTGGGAACTTGACGATAAGAGCTAGCGAATCAGGGACCAGCTCCTCTCGTGCGAAATGTCTTTGCGCGCATCTCTTCTGGGATGGCTGGAAAAGATATCGGTGCTGCTGCACCCTGCGCAAAGCCTCCTGAATCTTTCCACGCACGCCTGTACTAGTAGATTAGGGTCACCCTCTCAAGATGCACCTCTCATGCAGTGCTAGCTGAACCCCCAAACCACGAAGCCAGACCGGCAAGTCTTCTGATGGGCCCAGAAGTCCAGCAGCCCCAGTCCGAAAAATCAGCAAACAACCAAAATCCCAACAACATTTGAAAACCCAAAGCCTCAGTTTCCTGGCCGCAACCCTGCAAGATAAGACCAGTTTGAAGCCCAGTTTAACTCTTTTGGTCGCGCGCGCGGGGGAGGGAGGGGGAGGGGGCTTTGCCACGTTCCGCTGCAAGATCACTCCATCAGAGATGCCTCCTGAAGTTGATACTGGGTTTCGACGGTTTTGGGTTTGAAGGCATTGGGGGCATCGGGGAGGCTCAGGTTTGGCTTGGGTTTTGGAGTTTGCTGTGTTTCTTGGCACGGCGAATGTCAGGCTTTAGACTTTTGGAAGCTTTCGAAAGGTTCGTGACATACGAGGTGCAGCTATGGCCCGAGTGGAAGGCCATCCAGCACCTTTTGCCCAACACCATCGCCGTCTGAAGCGGAAAAAAGTCCATCACGACTTCTTCTACAGCGAGTGGCAAGAACAGTGCAGAAATGTGATGATCCATCATTTCAACATTTTTGAACACTGGGGAAGCTCAGATTCGCTCCTGTGACGGCCGGCTCGCCTCGCCATGGGGCCTTCTGCTCTGACACATCACAGAAGGTCTGCGCGGCGTTGTGAGAAAGCGCTTGTCGCTGGATAGGGACTCGTGTCGGGGTCAGGATTCGAAAACATCTCAAGCCAAATCCTTAGCAGCAGTGAAGGCAAACAGGAAACACGGACATCACCTTCGAAACGGCGGTGGCTGGTATGGCGGTGTGCCACCTACAAACGAGTACAAGCGCTTGGTGGGGTGCTTTCATAAACTGCCTCCACCCCGTATCACTGCAACCTAAACAACGACCGTACGGCAAACTCGGATTTCGAGATTAACGCAGTAACCTCTGCGGGAGCCATTGCGGTTTCCATTGTTTGGGGGGTGCCAATTCCCAGCCTCTGCGCGGCCCTTCTCACGCCTCACCGCCCAAAAGAAAATTGATGGCCTGTGCTCTCGCAACGAAGGGCTCTTTGAAGGGGTTTGAAGAGGTCGGGTGCAGACGGGTTCAGAGGCACTGGGGCACTTGGGATGACTGGCCCGGGCTTGGAGGCCCCTGGTTGCAGCAGCCAAGCTTCGCAAGGTCTGCGTGCCAGAACCCGAAACCGTTACAAACCAAACCTGATCAACAGCATACTGCCGCAGCCTTTACAGAAGCTCCTATCCGAACAAGTACACCCAGCCCCAATGTGAGACGCTCGCTTGGGGAAGAATGCGAGGGAAGGATGAGGAGATAAGTTGTCTGCGAAGAATGGTTCTTTTGATTGGGTGGATATTCTTCTCGCAAACTTTGTAGGGTTTATCATGTGCCTGGTTGACGTCACCGTTGGCCATCTGAAGAGCCTGTCTTCCACGGGTGGGATGTTTCTCCGGAAGCCCTCTTCAGCCCAAAATCCTTGCAAAAAGACCTGAGAATTTTACTTATTGAAAGCTTTGAAACTGAATTCCTTCTTGCAAGGCGAGTTTAAGTCGCAAAAGGCGGTGCCTGGATGTTGGAGGGTCGGTCTCCGAAGCCCATGCCAGCAAGCTGTTCAAGCCTGGGCAAACTTTTGGGGGGGTTTAACGCGGAGAGGTCGAAGGGGCTCCAGAAGCTTAACGATCAGGGTTCGAGGCTTGAGAGCTCAAGATATTGCTCCTTGACGGTTGTAAACAAGGCCCCCTCCTTCATGGTCAACCTTAAGTCCTGCACTCAACTGCCCTGAAAACCTCAAACGATTAATGACAGTCGCTTGTGTGCTGTGGTTCAGGTACCTCTTTGCCTTCAGACGATAAAGCTGGGGCTTTGCCATCTCGGCCAAGGCAGCGGCTGCGTTGCAAATCGCTCCTCTGCAGGCCTGTTGGCATAAGATCCGGAGGGAAGCAGAGAGCTCTGAGTCTGAGTCTGGGTTTGCAGGGTAGGGCTTGGGTGATGCGGGTTGAGGCAATGCTTTGGTAGGGTTTCGGGCATGCGAGATGCAACGTTCAGGACCGGGTTCGGGTTCGTGAGGTTGAGACGGGCGGAGGCGTCTCTTGAAGAAATGCTAAGCCGGTAGGATCGAAGTCTAAGCAAGCAGATGGAATTCGGAAATTCACCACAGAGCCCGCGAAGATGCCCGTTGATACACACTGAGGGGACATTTGAACTCAACACCTGTTCGAGGTCTGATGGCAATGGAGATGCCGAGGGGATACGCCATCACAAGAATCTGTGTCTGGGTCTTCATTTACCCGCCACGTCAGCAATTGCAACGAACCTGCACCCCTTGAAGATGTGCTTTGCAACGCCGAAGTAAGGGTTAGGCCTTCCATCGTTGGCTGCTGGCATGCCAGCCCCCAGGCCAGCCCCCAGACCTCAAACATGTTCTACGGGTGCTCAGAGGGCTCTTTGTGCTTTTGCTTGGGCCCACTTATGGGCCCACTTCGGCGCCACTTTAAATTCAGAGGGCACTTCATGGCACTTCCAACTGTCTCAGGGCTTTGGGACATCGGGGATATGATGCTTGTTGATGACGTTGACGTGCCAAAGCCTCAAGTACAGCTCCTTAGACAGCAAGAGCAATCGAGAGGAACTACACAGTCGTTCATAAAAAACAACGAGTGGGCAATCGAAGGGAAGTTACAACAAAACAGTTAGGCCATAGCTATTTGCGCTCTAGGTGCAACATCCGATCGGGTGCTGTGCAAACGATGTCCACACATACTCGGGAGGACTGGCCGGTCGTGTCCTCCCATCGAAGACGAACGCCATCGGTCATGCGAAAAGATGTGTATGCCAGAGGCTCGAGCAAATATTCTCAAAAC